CATTGTTGTTTGGTGGGCCCAGACTGGATTCTAACCCGCCACCTTAGGGGTACATGGCTGGCGAGCCGACTTGTCAGTTTCTAAAGCTCCTTTTGCTTTAATATTGCTGTGGTTTTCAAGATGTAAGGGCCCTGCAGGAAGGTGCTTGGTGGCCCTTTCCTTCACTTCCCTCTACTCCTCTGAGACCTGGGTCCCAATGGGTTTGTACTGGGTCTCACCACTGCCCTGGGGCCTTTGGGAATTATCCTTGACTTAGAAATTGAGGCTCAGGACACACAGCTTTGAGTGGGAGCAGGTACTAGAAGCAACGCTTCATGATCCTCAGAGAGTTTCTTGCTGATGCTGGCTACTGGCCCCAATCTGAGAAAGTAGGGAGTTGGGTGAGAAGCTTTGGATTTCCTCCTTTACCAGCTCTCCCCCTCGCCCTGCGGCCCACTCATTTTGTGACTTGTGCCAAGCTTAGATTTTCCTGACTTAGCAAAGGGGTTGAGCTCTGCACTCCCTGGAGAGGTGGCCTATGAGATCTGAACTGGAGAGTCCTGGATACCTTCGCTTGGGACTTCAGAATTGCAGAGACCATCAGAGATTATCTACCTTCCTTTTAAAAAAAGTTGAGGCTCGGTGCCTGTGGCTCAAGCGGCTAAGGCGCCAGTCACATACACCTAAGGTGGCGGGTTTGAATCCCTAGGCTGGGCCCGCCTAACATCAATGATGGCTGCAACCAAAAAATGGCCGGGCGTTGTGGCGGGCACCTGTAGTCCCAGCTACTTGGGAGGCTGAGGCAGGAGACTCGCTTGAGCCCAGGAGTTGGAGGTTGCTGTGAGCTGTGATGCCACGGCACTCTACCCAGGGGGACAGCTTGAGGCTCTGTCTCAAAAAAAAATAATAAGAAAATAATTTAAAAAGTTGAAACAGGCTCAGAAAGGAGAGGGACTTGCTCCAAATGAAACAGTGGAGTGTTTGGTAGATCCAAGACCTCAGCCCAGGTGCCTGGAACTCTAAGCCCTTCATGGCATCATCACAGCACCCCTAGGTTCCCTGTTATCTTTTTCCTTGGACTAGGAGTAGATGAGGGCACAATGCTGCTTTTTGAGTAGCATAGCCATGCAGGTGAACCTGCTTGGGAAGAACTATTAAGAAATAAACTGGCCAGGTGTAGTGGCTCATGTCTGTAATCCTAAGCACTCTGGGAGGCCAAGGCAGGTGGATTGCTGGAGCTCCGGAGTTTGAGACAAGCCTGAGTGAGAGTGAGACCACGTCTCTACTAAAAATAGAAAAATCAGCTGAGTGTTGTGGTGCACCTGTAGTCCCATACCCAGGACGACAAAGTGAGACTCTGTCTCAGGGGCAAAAGAAAAAGGAAAAAACAACCCCTTTCTTCACTCAAGCGAACATTAGGGCATCTGCTGTGATCCAGACCCTGTGCAAGGCTCTGGCTGCTTTAGTCCTGCTGGGTGTGAGCAGACAGGAACTAGCCAGCTCCTCTCCACCAGAGGCATCAGTGACATGTGGCTAGTGGTGGGGGAGGATCCCGGACACTCCCTGGAGGCATTGGCTGTGGGTAGGCAGTGACTGGTGGTTTGCAAGGACAGGAGCCTAGAGCTGCCTTTACCTCCTGAGTGCCTTCCTTCTCCTGGTCTGGCCTAGGTCCTGTCTTGCGGAGCTCCAGTGTTGGGCCTATGTGGGAGGGTTTCATGATCTTCATTTTCCATCGTTTAAAATGAGCAGGGATGGATAGATGTACCCAGGAACTGGAAGGAGGAGGAGCTGGTGGAATCTTGGCCATCTAGGCCAATTATTCTCAATGCAGAGCTCCCTCCCAAACCATAATGGCATGCATTTGTTGCCATTTAAAAATATATAATGACTTAAAACCAAACAGGTGGGGTGGCACCTGTGGTTCAAGTGTCTAAGGTGCCAGCCACATACACCAGAGCTGGCAGGTTTGAATCCAGCCTGGGCTTTCCAAACAATAACAAGTACAACCAAAAAATAGCCGGGTGTTGTGGCGGGTGCCTGTAGTCCTAGCTACTCGGTAGGCTGAGGCAAGAGAATCACTTAAGCCCAGGAGTTGGAGGTTGCTGTGAGCTGTGATGCCATGGCACTCAACCCAGGGCAATAGCTTGAGGCTCTATCTCAAAAAAAGAAAAAAACAAACAGGTGACTTGAACATAGTCACTGTGGGAAGTACAACCCTCAAAAAAAAAAAAGCTTAGCATAATGGTTCAAGCCTATAATCCTAGCGCTTTGGGAGGCCAAGGGGGAAGGATCTCTTGAGGCCAGGAGTTTGAAACCAACTCGGGCAACATACCAGGACCTGGTCTTAAAGAAAAACCTAGGTGGAGCCCATAGCTCAGTGAGTAGGGTGCCAGTCATGTACACACAGGCTGTCAGGTTCAAACCCAGCTTGGGCCAGCTAAACAACAATGACAACTATAACAAATAGCTGGGCATTGTGGTGGGTGCCTATAGGCCCAGCTACTTGGGAGGTTGAGGCAAGAGACTCACTTAAGCCCAAGAATTTGAGGTTGCTGTGAGCTGTGACACCACAGCATTCTATCCAGGGCGACATAGTGAGACTCTGTCTTAAAAAAAAATAAATAAAAACTAGCTGGGCAAGATGGTGGGTGGCCAGCTACTTGGTAGGCTGAGATGAGAGGATCCCTTGAGCCTAGGAGTTCAAGATTGTAGTGCGTGGCTCGGCGCCTATGGCTCAAGTGGCTAAGGCACCAGCCACATACACCTAGGGTGGCCGGTTGCTGGGCCCGCCAAACAACAATGATGGCTGCAACCAAAAAATAGCCAAGTGCTGTGGCGGGCACCTGTGGTCCCAGCTACTTGGGAGGCTGAGGCAGGAGACTTGCTTGAGCCCAGGAGTTGGAGGTTGCTGTGAGCTGTGATGCCATGGCACTCTACCCAGGGGGATAGCTTGAGGCTCTGTCTAGAAAAAAAAATAAAAAAGATTGTAGTGAGCTATGATCCTGTACTCTAGCCTGGGTAACAGAGACCTTGTCTCCAAACCAAACCAAAAAAGACCTTTTATTTTGTACTCATTTTAAGTTTCAAAAAAAGTTACAAGAATAGTTTCCATATCTCCTTTACCTATCTTCTAATATTAACATCTTTCATGTAACATGGTATAATTGTCAAAACCAGAAAATTTTGGCATAGTGCTGTCAACTTGATTTTTTTTTTTTTTTTTTTTTGGCTGGGACTGGGTTTGAACCCCCCACCTCCGGCATATGGGACCAATGCCCTACCCTTTTGGGCCACAGTCACCACCCTGCTTATTTTGATTTTTTTCACTGATTTTCAACTTCTGTCTTTTTTGTGTCATAGGATCTTGTCCAGGGCCCCACGTTGTATCCAATTGTCATTTCTCCTTTCTCTAGACAGTCAGTAAGAGTTTGTCTAAGTCTGTCTATAATCTTGTCACTTTTTTTTTTTTTTTTTTGAGACAGAACCTGAAGCTGTCACCCTAGGTAGAGTTTTGTGGCAATCTCACAGCAATCTCCAGTTCCTGGGCTTAAGTGATTCTCTTGCCTCAGTCTCCCAAGTAGCTGGGACTACAGGTGCCCGCCACAATACCTAGCCATTTTTTGGTTGCAGTTGTCATTGTTGTTTGACAATGGCCCGGACTGGATTTGAACCTGCCAGTTCTGGTGTATGTGGCTAGAGCCTTAGCCACTTGAGCTACAGGCACTGAGCCAATCTTGCCACTTTTGAAGAGCTACTTTGTTGAATGTCTCTTCTTTTGGGTCTGTCTGATGTTTTTCCATGATTGGATTGAAATAATGGGTTTGTTGTTTTTTTTTTTTTTTTGAGACATTCTCCTTCTATTGCCCTGACTAGAATGCTCTGCTGGCATCTTAGCTCCCTGAATCCTCAGACTCCTGAGCTCAAGTGATACTCCTGCCTCAGCCTTCTGAGTAACTGGGACTAATTTTTCTACTTTTAGCAGAGATAGGGTCTTGGTCTTGCTTTGTGCTAGGATTATAGACAAGAGCTGCTACACTTGGAGAGATGATGTATTTTTGACATAAATCCCACAATATGTTCATCTTGAAGCATCGTTTCATGGAGCTCATGATGTTGATCTTTTTCTGTTACTAGTGATGTTGGTCTTGATCACTTTGTTAAAGTAGTTTCTGCCAGATTTCTTTGCATAGGTGCTGTGAGAACACTTATATTGATGAAGATAGGGAGCTAGAAAAGAACCATTTTAAGCTTTTTTTTTTTTTTTAATTGAGACAAGAGTCTCACTTTGTTGCCCTTAGTGGAGTGCCATGGTGTCACAGCTCACAGCAACTCCAACTCTTGGGCTTAAGCAATTTTCTTTCTTTTTTTTGAGACAGAGCCTCAAGCTGTCGTCCTGGGTAAAGTGCTGTGGCATCACAGCTCACAGCAACCTCCAACTCCTGGGCTCAAGCGAGTCTCCTGCCTCTGTCTCCCAAGTAGCTGGGACCACAGGTGCCCGCCACAACGCCTGGCTATATATATATATATTTTTTGGTTGCAGTCGTCATTGTTGTTTGGTGGGCCCGGGCTGGATTCGAACCCACCACCTTAGGTGTATGTGGCTGGTGCCTTAGCCACTTGAGCCACAGGCACTGAGCCTTAAGCAATTTTCTTGCCTTAGCCTTCCTAGTAGCTGGAATTACAGGTGCCTGTCACAAAACCCAGCTATTTTTTTGTTTGTTTGTTTGTTGAGCAGGCCTGGGCCAGATTTGAACCTACCAGCCCTGGTGCATGTGGTGGGCACCCTAACCACTGAGCAATGTGCGCCCCCCATTTTGAGCTTTTCTTTTAGGATTGTCTTAGAATGCCCAGGAAAAAAAACAAAAGGCCTCCTTCATACAGAGGCAGCAATGGAAAGTGAAAGCATAAAGAAGCCTCAGGGGCACCATTTATTCCATAATACCATGTATTTCTCTTATTCTTGTCATGTTTCCACTAAATGAGCTCCCCAGGGTTAAACTTTGTTTTCTTTTCTTCCCAAGTGCCTCCCTCCCCAGCGGTCCCTCTAGCAACCCTGGAAACATCCCTGCCACTGTGCCTGTGCAGATGCCAAAGCCCAGCAGGGTCCAGCAAGCACTTGCAGGTAGGTTACAGAGCAGATTATGTCCTGTGGGACTTGGTGGATGGGAGATTGTGGGGTGGGGTCCTCTACCCTCAGAGAAACACAAAGGTGCTCCCTTGAAAGAGTAGTACCTCCTTCTGGTGATGGCGTACCCTGTGAGTGAGCCTGGTGCCCCTTTCTTTGGCTCTGGGGAAGTTGGGCCTGATTATAGGTGCCTAGGTCTGGTTCTTTCACATCTTTTCTAAAAATTTTTTTTTTTTTTTGAGACAGTCTCACTATATTGCCCTTGGTAGAGTGCCATGGTGTCACAGCTCACAGCAACCTCAAACTCTTGGGCTTAAGTGATTCTCTTGCCTCAGCCTCCCAAATAGCTGGGACTACAGGCACCCCCCACACACACACACATAGCACCCAGTTATTTTGTTGTTGTAGTTGTCATTGCTGTTTGGCAGGCCTGGTCTGGGTTCGAACCTACCACCTCTAGTGTATGTGGCTGGTGTCTTAGATGCTGAGCTGCAGGCGCTGAGCCTTTTTTTTTTTTATTTTTTTGAGACAGAGTCTCACTCTATTGCCCTGAGTAGAGTGCTGTGGAGTCACACAGCTCACAGCAACCTCAAACTCTTGGGCGTAAGCAATTCTCTTGTCTCAGCCTCCTGAGTATCTGGGACTACAGATAGCCTGCCACAACACCTGGCTATTTTTTTGTTTTGTTTTTAGCAGGCTGGGGCTGGGTATGAACCCACTAGCCCTGGTGCATGTGGCCTGAGCTGCGGTTGCAGCTCCGAAGAGTCACTTTTCTGTCCTGAAACCCTTGAAGCATTTCTATGAAGGGATCTTCTGGGAAATTCATAGCACTGTTTTGGCTGTGGGTGACATCTTACCTTAAATAAGTACCTTTGGGTCCAGCTAGACCTTTTGCTGCCCATACATCTTGGGACTGTATTTTTGTTTTTTCGCTTTTTTTTTTTTTTTAAAGCAGTTTAACTCTTATTGCCCAGGCTAGAGTGCTGTGGCATCATCCTAGCTCACAGCAACCTCAAACTCCTGGGCTCAAGGGCTCTTCCTGCCTCAGCCTCCCAAGTAACTAGGACTACAGGTACCTACCACAACACTTGACTGAGTTTTTCTATTTTTAGTAGAGATAGGGTCTCATTCTTGCTCAGGCTGGTCTTGAACTCCCAGGCTCAAGTAGTCCTCCTACCTTGGCCTCCCAGAGTGCTAGGATTAAAGGCATGAGCCACCCTTCCCAGACCTTAGGACTAGTTTTACAAGTCCTTTTATAGGTGTTGGGGAGCCACTGAGGTTATTTATTTACTTATTTTTTTGCAGTTTTTGGCTGGGGCTGGGTTTGAACCTGCCACCTCCAGCATATGGGGCTGGCACCCTACTCCTTTGAGCCACAGGCGCCACCCCACTGAGATTATTTTTATTTTTTTTGAGACAGAGCCTCAAACTTTCCCCCCTGGGTAGAGTTCAGTGGCATCACAGCTCACAGCAACCTCCAACTCCTGGGCTCAAGCAAGTCTCCTACCTCAACCTCCCAAGTAGCTGGACCACAGGTGCCCACCACAATGCCCGGCTGTGGTTTTTTTTTTTTTTTTTCGGTTGCAGCTGTGGTTGTTTGGCAGGCCCAGGCTGGATTCGAACCCGCAACCTTAGGTGTATGTGGCTGGTGCCTTAGCCACTTGAGCCACAGGTGCCGAGCTCCCACTGTGGTTATTTTTTAGCTTATGGGAAATGTAAGGAGTATAAAGAGGTAGATAGCCAGATGCAGTGGCTTACACTTGCAATCCCAGGACTCTAGGAGGCTGAGGCAGGCAGTTCGCCTGAGCTGAGCTCACAAATTTGAGACCAGGCTGAGCTAAAGCGAGACTCTTCTCTAAAAATAGCTGGGCACTGTGGCAGGCACCTATAATTCCAGCTACTTGGGAGGCTGAGGCAAGAGAATTGCTTAAGCCCAGGAGTCTGAGGTTGCTATGAGTTATGACACCATGGTACTCTACTGAGGGTGACAAAATAAGACTCTGTTTCAAAAAAAAAAAAAGGTGGACAGAATCATGTAGTGAGCCTACATCTGTCATAGGTTGCTGCAGAGGACTTAGATACAGTTGGTGTTTTAGGTGAGTCACTGTCATAGTGCAGAGTGGCTTAGAGGGGACAGGCCTAGAGCCAGGAAGGCCATGTGGAGGCTGTCCTTATAACTTAGAGGAGCACCTAAGTTTGTTCCAGTGGGATGGAGGGGGAGGCTTGGTTTGAAACGTTCAGAGGGTGAGAGCCTTCTGCCATGGTGGCTGTGTTGGCTGTGAGAGAGGACAAGAGGCAGAGTGAGGCCTGATGGAGCCCAACCTCAATCTGGTGCTCTCACATGGAAATCATTGAGTGATAACCCAGGGCTCTGCATGTGTGTTAATTTGTTTCAACCCTAAATAACTGGGGGGAGGGGCGCTTTATTCTCATTTTATATTGGAGGAAGCTGAGCCAAAAACTTGGGGAGCTACCTCATGGAAGAGCTGGGACACAGCCCAGGCATTCTGGCCTCAGATCTAGCTCCTTGCCATCACACTTTGGTGCTTCTGAGTCTGGTGGGAGCCTCAGAAGTGAGTGATGGCTGTGATGTGGCAGGACGGCAGGAGTTTTGATGTGCATCTCAGAGCAGCAGTCTGGGAAGAATGGGTACCCTTGGCTCCCTAAGGAAGTGAGTAAGCCTGTGCTGGGAAGAGGTGCTCTCAAGGAACATGGAAGGAACAGCCAGAGAGCTGGGAATGGGAAGCCCTTGGAGGGAGGCCCAGCTCAGCAGGCCTTCTTGAACCTGCTCCAGCTGCCGGGACTGAGAGAACAGAGTGAGCAAAGATGTGCTGACTGGGAAGTTCAGTTGAGGTCACCTTCATGGCATTGAGTGTCACAGGGAAATCAGACTGTATGTGTGTACATGTGTGGTGGTGTTGGAGAAAGGTTTCTGGTAAACAGGTGGGGCTCTCCACAGCCTAGCTCCTCCCAGCTGTGGGGCTTTCTTGAGCCTTTATGGCAGGCCTGATGTGGGTAACCTCTTAGGCTATTATGTAGGTAGATGCTGCAGTGACCTCTCTTAAGTGAAATGGATCTTTGGGTGCCCTGCGTAGTGAGCAGCACCTGCTCCCTTTGCTCTGCTCTGGAGGCTGACGACCCTCTCCAGGCTGCCTCTCACATTGTCCTTCATGTCTCCTATCACCCTGCCTTTCAGAGCAATCCTGGAGCCAGGTAGCTGTCTTAAACTCCTTTTACTCGTGGGATAAACAGCCCCCAAAAGTTCAGGAACTTGATCCTAGCTAGGAAATAAGAGCCTGGAGTCCATGACCAGACTGCTATCTCCTCGAAATTCAAGGCTCAGTGGTTGGGACCTATAGATAGAACCATTGTCATTGCTTGTGGTCCCGGGAAATGAGACCCAGGCCAAGCCCTAGGAAGCCAGAGCTGGTGTCCTCTTGTCCCCTGGCTGCAGCATAATCCAGCTATCTTTATGGGGTGGAGCCTCTGAGACTGGGGTCACTTCCAGCCCTGTGGTGACTTACTGGGGTGAATATATGAGTGGTGGGTTAGCAACCTACCCAAGCCTAGGTTGAGGAGACCAGAATGGAAGGAGGGGAGGCTTGGATTTCAGCTCTAGTCACTAGATCAAAAATTAGCCTCAGCCTTCCCCCAGGTCCCTAGAGCACCTGGCCTGGCCATGTCCTTCATGCCTTCATGTCAGGAAGTGGGTGCTTGGACATTGGAAAATGAGGGTCTGAATGGGGTTTTCTTCTCAGGGCTCTGACCATAGGAATCCTGTATGACAAGTGGAGAAAAAAGTCTGAGCTATTCAGGCGATTTAGGGGTATCAAGAGTTTGGGGCTGTCCCAGAGCCCTTGCTGTTGAGGAAGATGATGGCACACACTTTATGGCCCTCACCCATCCTGCCCATCAGATCCTGCTTTGTGGAGTGGCAGGTATGGGTGAGGTTCAACTTGTTCACATAGGTGACCCTCAGCAGAGGGTCTGCTTTCCCTCTAGACTTCTGGGTTAGGGCGTGTGGATGTAGGTGACTTGAATTTCACAGAATGGGTCCTGTGTTGAAAAGGGCAGAAGTGGGCTTGTGTTGGCCTCTTGGGGGCTACTGATGGCAGCCTCAGGGATATCTTTGTTCCTTAGTACACACTGACCATGGGCCTCTGCAGACTGCCTACTACTGCCCTGGGTGTTGGAGCCATAGCTGTGGGCAGAGTCCTCTCCTCACTGAACTAGCACCAAGGGAGGACTTCAGGAACAGATGTGCAGGTAGATCAGGCAGAGAGAGGTAGAGGGAAGGGGCCCAGTGAGCATGTTCTTGCAAGTTCAGGGCAGAGCATTTGACTGCAGAGAGAGTATTCAGGGAAGGCTTGCCTGCTGAGGTGACACTGGAGGAGAGATCTCGGGGGTCGCTGGTGAGGGGATGAGTTCTGGTCAGAGGATGTGGACAGTACAAAAGCCCTGGGTTCTCTTAGGGAAAACTGCACCTGTTCCTGCTCTCTCCCATCTTTCTGTCACCTGTGCCTGCTTGTTTTTCTGGCCACCTGATATTTAGTTCCCAAGGGAACTGCATTTGAGCCCAGGAACAACCTTGGGATGTTGGTGCCATTGTGTTAGCTGATACAAGCCTGAGCTGGAACTGCAGTCTTCTGATATTTGCTTTGGTGACTAGCCACAACTCGCCCTGCCCCACTTGGCTATGTCGCCCAGGCTGGTGGCTGGCCTCTGCTTCTGTCCATTCTGGGCACATTTGCCAGAATGAATGGCTTTGTTCTTCTATTGGAGGCCCAGTGGTTAGCCGGGCTGCCTCCCATCCCTCTGAGTCACCTCTAGGGTTGTCCAGCAGGAGGACATGCTGTGTCCCAGGGAGTGCTGGGTCTTTGGGAAATATGGAGGGAGTGTGTGTGGAGGGTCCAACCAGGACATATGTGGAGCACCAGACTGAGGAGCCAGGCCTGTCTCTGTGGGCACTAAGTAGTAGTGAGCTCTGAAAAGAGGGTCCTATCCATCTTGGGACAGCTGTCTGCTGTGGGCCCACCCTCACCTGAGGGTACCAGAGAAGGAAGCTGCAGCCTGGGACCTTTGCTGCTGCAGCAAAGCCTCTCAGGGGCTGTGGGGGTACTTTAGCATGGGAGCCATCCCAAGAGGCAGCAGTCCCACTCGCCGACCTCAGCAATGTCACTGTAGGCCATGGTACCTAGAGAAGCTAGGTGGGGAATGGAAAGCAGATAGCACTTCAGTGGAGGCAAAGTGACCTGGAGTCATCTAGAGGGCATGACCAGGCCAGATGTTCTAGGGGCCTGGGGGAAGGCTGAGGCCTTGAAGCCAGCCTGCACAGGTGACCCTGTCCATGCTTCCACGCTTGGCTACAACCTTCCATGTTGCCTGTTCTCCCTTCCCTACACCGGGCACAGGGGATACCACCCTAAACTGTATAGGCGCCTTTCTGGTGTTCTGCCCTCTGCTCTCCTAAAGCAAATGGCGTCTCCACCTGCATGCTCAGGGCCCAGCTAGTCCCTTGCTTATACAGACACCTGTGGAAACTGGGGCCAGGACACCAGTGAACCAGGCCATTTTACCAGCACCCTGGGTCCTGGCCTGGAGCTCAGTCTTACCACCCTGGATCAGCTGTGGCAGCCTCCAGAGTCCAGATTTCCCCAGGAAGCTTTATGGGGAAAGCTTCATGGTGCCACTTCCTTGGCCTCGGTAGGGTTTGTTGATGTTGCGTGCAAAATCACTCCTTCTAATTTTTCTCCCCCTCTGCATGTCTGATCTCGCACCCCGTGTAGGCATGACGAGTATTCTGATGTCAGCCATTGGACTCCCTGTGTGTCTTAGCCGCGAACCCCAGCCCGCCAGCCCTCCCGCCTCCTGTCTGGCCTCTAAAAGTCACAGCTCAGTTAAAAGATTGAGGAAAATGCCCATGAAAGGTAGTTCCTGTTCACAAATGCTCTCTGGCCTCTGCTAAGCCTCCTCCAAGTCTCACTGCCTCTGACTCTGACATAGATTGCTCTTCCTCCTCTCAGTCCTGTCGCCTGGGGGGATGGACTCCATGGCCCTTAGTCACCAGCAGAGCTGAAGTCTGGGCTCTGACTTTCCTCTCAAGTCCCAGAGTTCAGCTCCTCTCTCTCCCTGGCATAGCTAGGATGAGAGGGGCTTGTTCTTTAGGCCTTGTGATTTTGTAAACACCAAGCTGTAGGCAAGGGGTGGTGCTTGGCACAGAATGGGGAACAACTGTCCTTTCCACTAGAGCCAATATGTCTCAGGAAAGGTCCTCGCTCCTAGGACAGAAGACCAGTCCTATTGCCCTGGCACCTAACTCTTTCTGGCTATCCATGTAGGCTACTTAAGGGGTGTCCTCTGATGACCACTGTCCTGCCCTGCCCATCACATGGCCAGGGAAAAAGGGATTTCAGAATCACTAACAGTGCTGGGAGTTTTACTTAGAACTGTGTGGAGGGGCCTGTTGTACTGAGTCCTAGACTTTTTCTCAAGCTGGTGATGGCTCTGCCTCTATCACTCGGTCATAGAAACATGGACTGCTTCAAGTCCAGTGTGGTGGTATGCAAGGAGGGTGGCTCCACTAGCTTCCCCCGGCTTTGTGATCTTATGCAGATCCTCTCCATTCATGAGTCAGCACCTCCTACTTAGCAGATTGCTTGGTGAGAAATAGGAAATAGACATGTGAAGCACCTGGCACGGGATGACAGTGGCTGTTACAATCATATCCATTGTCTGGTCTAGCCCCCAGAGGAGCTAGGCTCAGGGAGGGGTGGGCCTTGGAGCCCCTGACCCCAATCCTGGGCTTACTTAGATTGCATGGAGGTGGCTAGGACGGCAGCTGCTTCTGGCGCTCAGGTTTGCCTGGGAAAGACATGGGTTCTTGGCCTGCCTGGGCTCAGTTGTCCCTTTTGTATGAGTCTGTTTTGAGGGTCACCTGGCCAGCCCCCTTTGAGAAATGTGGCTAATGGGAAGCTCAGTTCTGTAAGGCTGGATGGGCAAGGGAAACATGCTGAGCTGGGCCAGGCAGAGATGGGAATCCCAGGCTCATTTGGAGACAGGCCTAGAACTAGCAAGCTTTTCACAAATAAAAGGCTCCCCTAGTCTGAATAGGGTGTCTCAGCCATTAGGAATGGCCACTCTGAGTTGAGGGTCAGTGTTCTGATGTGGTTTTCTCACCATAGTGCCCAGGGCAGGGTCCTGGCAGTCTGTATGGGAGGTATTGGGGAGGCGTGGTCTGTCCTTGTCAGCACCTGCCTTTCAGGTAACAGCCCCCTGATGCCATTACAGGAGTTATAGCTTTGCTAGGTATTAACTTTCACTTTTGAGGTGATAGAACCAAGGCTCAGAAGTAGTGTGATTTGGTCACAGCAAGAGCCAGAATTAAGCATAATGTTCTTCTCCCCTAAGCTGCCTCCCAGATTGTTGTCTCTTGGCATTCTCAAGTCTTTGCAGTCCCAGGCTGACTGTGAGCTTAGATTCCAACCAGAGCCCCTCTGGTCTCAGAGGCAGGAGCCAGCAGCCCATGGTGACCTGAGCTGGAGCTCCTGCCACAGTCGCTTTCTTGGGGCTGCCTTGGTCTCCCTGGTCTCCCTTTTGCTCCCTCACAGGTTTGGCTGCAATTTTCCCATTCTCCTGCTGCCTAGAGAAATCCTCAAGCTGTGCCAATTCTCTCTCACTGGGTGGGGATATCTCCCATTCTTAGGTGGGACCTGTTTGGTGCAGGGATTGGTGTTTATGGAGACACAGCCCTCCCAGCTGCATGGGCATGTGCACAAAGACTAGGATAGCAGACTGTGCTCCTGCTACGTCTCAGCCCCTCTCCAGAGCTGCTCGGCTTAGGAATTGTAGGCATGCGACTGGGACCCCAAAGTCAGACAGGGTCAGTGTGGCCAGCATCTACAGTCAGCATGCTAGTAGGTGTGCTGGTAGAGTAGGTTCCTGGGACACAGTGAACTCAAAGCTTCCTTCTTTCACTGAGAATAATAAATCTTGGATGAAATAATGCAGCCGGAACATCCTTTGGAGTAGTTTGGTTTTGTTTGTTAGTTTTTTTTTGAGACAGAGTCTTACTTTGTCACCCTCAGTAGAGTGCTGTGGCGTCACAGCTCACAGCAGCCTCAAACTCTTGGGCTCAAGTGAGTCTCTTGCTTCAGCCTCCCAAGTATCTGGGACTACACGTGCCTACTACAACACCCAGCTATTTTTAGAGACAGAGTCTTGCTTTAGCTCAGGCTGGTCTCAAACTCATGAGCTCAGGCGATCTGCCTGCCTCAGCCTCCCAGAGTGCTGGGATTACAGGTGTGAGCCACAGAACTCGTCCTGAGTAGTTTGTGCTTGAAGCTGCTCTTAGACTCTCATGGGCATCCTTGAAAGAGTCTAGGTTCGGCTTCCTGACTAGATGTGTGTTGGGATGCCGCTCCTGAGAGATGTGTGACTCTGTTTCTGCCTCTTCTGCCTCCCCCCTCCCACACACACACACTCACACCCACCCACCCACCTACCCACTCCAGGCTGGGCCTGGCACCCACATGGTTAGGCCTGATGGGGCTTTGCCCAGCAGAGCTCTGGAGTGCTCTGTGCCTGGTGCTGAGGCTCTCCTGTCTTGCACACTAACCTTCCCCATCTTGGCCCTTCTAATGTTTCCTCCTGGCAGCTTGGACTCTCCCTTGTCTTCCTCTGGAATCCTCTGCAGTTTGTACTCCCTGGGAGACTGCTTATATTCTTTCTCTTATAGGAGGGACTACAAAGCCAGAGCCAGAACAGGTGATAAAAAACTACACTGAAGAGCTAAAAACACCCCCAGATGAGGTAAGTGTCCTGGTAGCTAGGCTGCTTTGGTTTTTGTTTAGAAAAAGGGCTGACTCCAGCCTCTTCTCTGCTGTAAGGGTATTTCCCAGGCACCCCTGGGTGCATGCACTAGGCACTGTGGCTGAATCTCCAGCCTCCCACCAGTAGTGGTCGTGGCTCCTAGCCCACATCCTTCAGATCCAACCTTTGTCACTAAGGAGCTGTGGTCCTGAGCAAGCTCTTCCCTCCTGGCTCAGGCTTCTGTGTAGCCCATGTACCATCCTGGAGATAAGGGGGGTGGGGGGGACATCTGCTTCACTCTGCCCAGGCCTACACTGGTGGAGAAGGGAGGTGTCCTTGTCCAGGTGGCAGTCCTGCTGCTCTGGCTATTAGGAGAGCTGATTGCAGTTCCTGTGATTAACAGGCACAACCAAACTCTTGTCACAGTTTTGGTAGAACCCAAACCCCTTTTCTGAGGCACACTTTGGGGATGGCAACACCACTTTTCCCATGTGAACGGAAAGTCCTAGAGATTTTGGAGGGGTGGGTTAAAGGTCAGTGTGCCAGTGCAGAACTGAAGACTCTGTCCACTTGAAAGTTGAGTACATGTGGAGAATCTGGTTAATACAGCTTGGAACAGAGCCAGAAGGTTCTCCTGGTGTGTCTCACCCTTCTTCAAGCCCTCACCTATTTGTCTTTCCCAGCACTCAGATCTGTCTCTTTGTCCTTGTGCCTGTCTGGCCCAGGTTTCTCCCAAGCTGCCACCTACACAGCCAACGTGTACCCTGGCTCGTGGGTGCCTTCCCTGTACAGTGTTCTTTAGTAGGGCCAACTTCTAAGATAAGGCTCCAGCTCCTGAAAGTGGCAGTCAGAACATTCCAGGACTCCATTCTCTCCTAGCCCTTGTCTCATCTCCTATGCCTATTCAGATCTTGCCCCTTTAGGTGTCCATATGCTGATTTTGTGTTTCAGAACATTCTCTCCCTCTTCATGAAATGCCCACTTCCCACCTGATAATTCTCTCTCTCATCCTGGAATGCTCACTATCTGCTTGTTTGCCTGACAATTCCTGTGTCCCTTGTAAGACCTGCTCAGGGTTACTCCCCTGAGGAATCTGCCCTCTTCTGTCCTCCCTATTTGACTGTTCCTGCTGCTGTCTCAGGCCTGTGCTTCTGGTAAGCCCTGTGAGGGCATGGGTCTCAGTGACTCATCTATGTTCCCAGCCTCTGAAGCAAATGACTACTGAAATGACTTTGACCGTAACTCTAGCATTTCAGCAGATGAAGGCCTTTTTTCTACCAGACTGGCCAGTTTCAACCCCATTGACATTGGCAAGTATGCCCTGTGTTTGGTCTGTCTCCAGGACTGCATCATCTGTATGGAGAAGCTGTCTGTGGTATCTGGGTACAGCGATGTGACTGACAGCAAGGCCATTGGGCCCATGGCCGTGGGCCGCCTCACCAAGTGCAATCACACCTTTCACCTGCTGTGCCTGCTGGCCATGTATTGCAACGGGAACAAGGTGCCTGTGCTGCCAGGGGGAGGGGGACAGGGTGAGGGTCCTGAGGGGTAGTTGCTGAACTCTAGGGACAGCTACAGGATCACTCCTCTGGCAAAAGACAATCATGGGCATGTAGAGCCAGCTTGGGGACCTTTCTGAAGGCCCAGCTGACTGTCCTATGCCTGCCTCATGCTTTAGGTAGGGGGACCAAGGGACTGATTGGTTCCCCCAACCCCTCTAGCCGGGCCCTGGGTCCTTCAGGCTTAGGGGGCTCCTGGGCTTTTGAGTAGCAGGGTACTGTTTTGCCCTTGGCCACTTCCAAGTACTCACTCCTTCCTTATAGCATCCCTGTGCAATTGTCATGGTACTGACAGGAGGCTCAAGAAGGGGCATATGTCCACCACCGACCACAGGGAAAGTCTTTTTTTTTTTTTTTTGAGATAGAGCCTCAAGCTGTCACCCTGGGTAGAGTGCTGTGGCATCACAGCTCATAGCAACCTCCAACTCCTGGGCTTAAGCGAGTCTCCTGCCTCAGCCTCTCAAGTAGCTGGGAC